CCTCGCCGGGCTCGGCCCCGCCTGGGATCTCGCCGCGGGTCACCCCGGAGCCCCCGGCCCCCTCGCCGGTCGCGAGTGGCCGGATCGTGGTGGCCACTTGGAACGTTCGCGGGGCAGGCCGGCCAGACGTTCGCGAGGCGATCGACGCCTCGCCCCTGGCCAAGGATGTCCACGTGGCGGTGCTCCAGGAGACCCGCCTCCCCCGCCAGGAGCTCGACACCGCCCACTACTTCTGGCTACAAGGCCAGCGTGGTGCAAGCCCTGGTGGAGGCCGGGGTCCCGCCGAGCATGGTGAATCGGGTTATCGCCCTGGCCCTCACGGACAGGACCTACATCCGCTGGGGCCGCTCCCCCACGTCGGTGGTGCTTCGCGGGAGGGGAGTCCGGCAGGGGTGCGGCGTCAGCCCCTTTCTCTTCCTCCTGGTGCTCCACATGCTGGTGCGCCAGGTGGTTGCTGGCCTGGCCACTACTTCTGGGTCATGGAGGGCGCCCCTCCAGGCGGGTTTCGCGGGGTCGGGCTGCTGGTCCGCAGGGGGATGCCAGAGGTCGTCCTGCGCAGCTCGGCCCTGCTCAGCCCTAATGTCATCTACGCTGAGCTCCTGCTGTGGGGGATGCACTTCACCGTCGTCGGGGCGCATGTTTCCCAGGACCGGGCGGCTGGCCAGCGTGGCGCCCTTGACGCCATCAACGCCGGCCTGGCGTCGGCCCGCGCCACTGGAAGCTGGTCCTGGGGGACTTTAACGCCCACATCGCCCCCGCGGAGCACCCCGCGCACCCCGACGTCCTCGGCCCCAAGATCAACGAGGACGTCCAGGCCACGGACGCGGCCGGGGCGGCGCTCATCAGGATCGCCCAGCTCCACAGGCTCAAGATCTACACCACCCTGGGGAGGGCCCGGAACTGTCAGATTACCTGGCAGCGGCGGGGTGGCTTCCGGGGGGCGCCGGGCTCCACGTCACAACTGGACCACGTACTTGGTAACTACCCACGCTTGGATAAGGTACGTGCTGATTTCGTTCCCCTGCACCCCAACGCCGACCACAAGATGGTGGTGGCTTCGCTAAACCCCCCCTGCGGAGCTCCCCTTCCAGGCCCTCCCTGCCCCGCCGCCGGCTGGTGAGGCCGAGCCGACCTCGGCCAACCCCCACGAGGTCTGGACCACGGAGTGCCTGGGACACTCAGCCATTCTCCAAGACCGCTACTCCCGCACCGTTGAGGCTGCGCTCAACACGGTAGGGGCGCGAGGGGGTGATCTGTCCTGGACTCAGCTCTCCGCGGTCCTGGTGACAGCCGCTACTGCTGTCCTTCGCGCCCCTGCCTCCCCCCTGACTCCCCGCCAGCGTGCGGCGGTTCATCAGTACCAGGCGGCGCAGCGGGTGGCCCATAACGCCCCTGGGGGCAGGCACGCGGAGTTTTTGCGGCGAGCGGCGGTCCGCGCGCGGCGCGCTGCGGCCTGAGTCCACAAGAGGGAGAAGCTCCAGTACCAGTTGGGGCGTATCCAAGGCACCCGGCCGGCGCGGCGGATGAACCTCCTGTACCGCTTCCTGCGCCGTACACGGCGCACGGTCCTGGCCCGCGGGGCTGGGCCGACTATGCGCGACTGGGCAGCGGCGGTCCAGCAACAGGCGGTAGGGGACCAGCCTCCGCTCCTGGCAGAAGAGGCCGCGCCGGTCGACTACGCCCCTACCGCGGCCCAGCTCATGGCGTGTGCGCGGCGCCTCTCCACCGGCACGGCTCCGGGGCCGGACGGTCTCCCAGGGGAGCTGTTCCGCTATGCCCCGGAGGCCTTCTTCGTCCATCTGGCGGCGCTGGTGCGGCGCCACTGGGAGGCCTGCTCCTTCCCGTCGGCCTGGGTGACGTCGCTCCAGCACCCCATCCCCAAAGTGCCTCGGCCGCAGACGACGGAGGAATTCCGTACCCTCTCCATGTGCGCGGCCGTCTACAAGATGGTCGCGCTCCACCCGCTGGCCCTTCTGCAGACTGTGGTCCCCCCCCCCCTGCCCTACTATCAGGCTGGGTTCCAGGCCGGCCGCTCCACTTACGACCACATCTTCCTGGTGCGGCGCGTCCTGGACGCCTTCTGGTAGGTCGGCACCCCGATTCACGTGCTCGCCCTTGACATTAAATCCGCCTTCCCCTCGGTCTCCAAGGCCAGCGTGGTGCAAGCCCTGGTGGAGGCCGGGGTCCCGCCGAGCATGGTGAATCGGGTTATCGCCTTGGCCTTCACGGACAGGACCTACATCCGCTGGGGCCGCTCCGCCACGTCGGTGGTTCTTCGCGTGAGGGGAGTCCGGCAGGGGTGCGGCGTCAGCCCCTTTCTCTTCCTCCTGGTGCTCCACATGGTGGCGCGCCGGGTGGTTGCTGGCCTCCCCCGCTTCAGGCTGGACTTCGGCGCCGAGACCTTCGTCCCCATCATCTGCGCCTACGCGGACGACGTGCTCGTCTTATCTGACGACCTGGACGACATCACCGGGTTCCTGGCGTCGTCCCGCGCAGGGCTGGCGGAGGTCGGGCTTGAGCTGAATCTGCGCAAGTCCGAGTACCTCGTCCGCAGCCCTGTCCCGGACCTGCTTCCCCTGCCACGGGTGGCCCGCCTGGCTGGCTTGGAGGTCCCGCAGGTGAGCCAGCTGGTGTACCTGGGGGCCTTGCTCACCACCCCCGCGGCAGCCCGGGGTCTACCACCGGGTGAGGCGGGCGCAGCGCTCCCTTGCCGCCATCTTGCCGGCGCTCCGGGACCGGCGCCTCCCCCTTGCCGTGCTGGAGGGGCTCCACCGTACCATCATCCGGCCCGGCATCGCCTACGAGCTTGGCACAGTGCTAATTTATCCTTGACTATTTGCAAAAACTTTGTTGGCATTTCATGCTAATCCTTTGATCAGCTATTTATTATTTAGTTTCCAGTTGTAATAACTAAATATTTGTTATTTTTGAACTCTTCACACCATACTAATTAGTGGGAAATTTTTGTAGTGTTCAAGATTTTATGTAGAGCTAATTTCGATTGTTTTTAGTAGCCTGATTTGAAGCTTTTCCGTAAATAATTGGCCATTAGATTTCAATATCAAACTTTGGAACAATGATTGATTGCCTGTCGTTTCTTGACAAAAGTCTTACTTCATTTCTCGGAAACATTCAATTCACCTTTTCTCAATTATTAACGAAGTACATCAAGAGTGTATTGCTGCTGGATTATGTCATCGGCCCCATATCATCTAACTTCAATTTGAACAGCGTTGGTAAGTTTCCATAATGTTGACTATTTGTAAAAACTTTTTGTCATGCTTAATCCTTTGATCACTGCTTTTTATGATTTAATTTCCAGTTGTAATAACTAATTATTTGTTATTTTTGAACCTTTAATGAATATCTTGCAACATTTTCTGGTAAATTAGTATTTCAATACCAAACTTGCAGCAATGATTCCTTTGCCGTTTCTAGCTAACTTTTCACTTGCCTATGAAACATTTAACA